GGTCATGGCCCTCATGGGTTGATGTCCTTAGTTAGGGATTGGAACCCAAACGATGGTAGGAGAAAAATTCAAGCACTACAATTTAATAGTAGAAGAAAGTAATAAATCACCCTAATTTCGGGTTGTTCTGTCCATGTACCTCAACGTCATCGTTTCGGCGACAAAAATACTAGACGAGCACAAGCCGTTGCAAGTCAGACCCAGATATGGTTTTTAACAAATAAATAAATAGATAAAGGTAGAGTCAAACACCTCACGCAACTGATATATGTATGTCTATACCCCAGTTCATTGCCGATGATCGTGATAAGGAGTGAATGTTGTATGATCATAGTAATTAATTAATCACACTTTTCCCCTCCAGGACGGGCTAAGGGATGAGATGAAGACGGGGAAGGTCAGATCAAAGAATTCAGTTGTCAGAAATTGACGACAGAAAAGAAGGTTGTGCTTTTCTTCTTCTTTTTCATTTATTTATTTTTTTTGGGTAAAACTTAATAACAACAAAAAGAAGAGGCGACTTACATGGAGGCGTCTGGTGAGAAGTGATGAAGTTGAATTCCCCGAAGAAGTAAAAGCACGAAGTGCAGAGGCAGCTACACGCTTCATCGCCATCTCTGATCTCTCACTACTCTTACCACTTCACCCCACTCAATACCTCCTTAATTAAAACCAAAATTGCTTGCAGCATGTATCGACCGGATCGAGGCAACTTTTATATTTTCTAGTAAGCGGATCGCCAACTAAGATCTCGTTTGTGTACCTCTGTGACTGGCCAGTGGCTACAGGCTTCTGAGCTGTGAGGGTGAGTGACGAGTCCTCAGTCCTCACTCCATCCATTTTATAGGCGAGTCAACCCTTTCTCTACCATCTATTATGATTATCAGCTCGTCTCTATCCATATTTTATGTAGCAACAAAGTATTATTTAAAATAATTATTGTAATATTTTTTTGATATGATATAATATATGTGAAAAAAATATAATAAAATATATTTATAAAGAAAATAAAATATTATTTAAAATAAATGTGCTATCCAAACACTATTATGGTAGTACGAAGAAAAAGTATAGAGTATCAAATAGACCCAGAAACATAAAGATGAAACAAAATTGTACTTGACTAACAAAGAAGATGAAAAAAAAGGGGAAAAAAACTTGTTTCTGTTATGATCCTTCTGTTTTTCAAAAATTAATTTTTAAATACTATAAAAATTTCTAAAAAGTACTCTAAAAATACTCTAAAAATAGTTTAAAATTTTTTTAATACTCAAAATATATCTCAAAATATATTTTAAAATTCTACTACTCTTAAATATTCTAAAATATTTTTCAAAAATATCCCAAAATATACTCTAAAAACTCTGCTGCAGTAAAATTTTTTAAAAACACCCAAGAAACAGCTAATCCAAACAGATTCTTGACATGCATGGGCATCTGCTGTAGCGTTCTGGTAATTAAAAATTCAAATCACCTTTTTGAGCCTAAGTCAGGTGATCGAGTGAGCTGTGTAGTGCAAGGGACCAACCAGCTAAATTGAAACTCTTGCGTGCCAATCCCGGTTTAGCTTTGAGCAAATCCCCGAAACAATCTTTCAACTATTTCACTAATTCATGTTTAGGCCTCTATCTTAAAAATGGAACCCATGGTCCTCCAACAAAACTTTATGGACCAATTTGGTCCCTATACAGCAAAATAGTCAAGAAAATTCAAATCCATCACCACTTTAGTCCTACTTTTTCTTGACCGCTCCGTCATATAGGAATCAATTTTATCCAAAAATCTTTTATAAAGAACCATTCTGTCCTATTTTTAAGATGGAAAACCAAATGTAAATTAGTTAAAAAGTTAAATGACTATTTGGGAATTTGCTCTGTAGCTTTTAATGAGTTTGGATTCTTTGGAATATTTATTCAATTTTAATTTTTAACTAGGTTGGCAATTTTGCTGATCAAATTTTGGGGTCCATTTACATGATGTGTTTTTTGGTGTTTATATAAAGAAAAATTTATTTAAAACATGTCTCACATTTAATTAAATAAATTTTTTTGTCATTCACTTTTAAAATATGAATTTTACATCCTTTTAGAAAATTTTAGTCTTAATCCAAGTTTTCATCACTGATTAGTTTGAAATAACTATGTGATCCACATGTAATCATTTTTTATGTATAAAAAACTCAAATCCCATTTTTTCAGAGATAAAAATGAATATAAATTTGATCATATTCCATTTTTTAGGAAAAATGAATATAGTTCATGCCAGATTCTATTTTTTAGGGATAAAAATCAATATGAATTGAATCATTTGTTTAACTATAAATAGGATTTAATCTTTTTTATCTTAAAATATGACGATATGTAGGTTACATAATAGATTCAAGATAAAAAAGTGGTCGAAATTTTATGTTAGGATCAACATTTATTGATTTAATTTTGTAAGAAATGTAAAGTTATTTATTTTAAAAGTGAATGGTGAAAATATTTACTTAGCAAAATGTAAGGGATGTTTTGACTAATTTTCCCTTATATAAAACTTTATTGTATCTTACTGTAAAATTTATAAATAAAAAAAAACTTTTGTGTGTTCGAGGGTTTGGAGAAAAGATGTTTTATTTTCTTTTTTCTTTCTTATCATTTTTTCCTCTTTACTTCTTTCTTCCCACACCTACTACCCCAACCAGTCCACCTTCCCCTGATTTTTCTCTCTTTCTCTTAGGGGTGGGCAAAATTATCCACAAATCCAAAAATAGGTATATCCGATCTGATCCTATTCAAAAATTATGGCCACCAATATGTATTATTTGATCTGATTAAAAGAGGGTCGAGCACCCACTAAAATGTGAGGCGGGTTAAAGTCACGCAATTAAGAATCCGCGAGTACTTGACTCACCCCATATATATTTTTTTTATTTTTTATTTTTATGCACATACTATAAAATAATATTTTTAGAACTAAATAAGCAATTTCATTGAACAAATTGCATTACAAATGTGAGAGACTATAGTTTGTTTACAAAATTTATTTGTAGAAGTCGTGATTTTATGTTTTATAAAAAATAATTTAATTAATGTGGAACATATGTTTAAAAATGTGTAATTTATTTCAAACTTTTATTGATTTTGAATTCTTTGAATGTTTCCCTTTTCCTTGTGTTCTCTTAGCTTGTTTGTTTATTAGTACGAGACTTTGTTTGAAAAAAATCTTTATTAAATTTTAGATGAATATGTAAAATACAAAATTAAATTAGTATAAATTATTGTTTTTAAAAATTTTAATAATAAGCATGGCAGGGTAGGTACCTGTTGACCCTACCCTTATCCCTAGTTATGTGTGTGTGTGTTTTTTTTTAATAAATAGATATCTTGAATTCAATATATTTTATTTACAATTTCTCCTACCTCACCAATCAACCAACCCTTCACTCACCCTAAATGTGATCGAATAAGAATTTCCCAAACTTGTTTTTTCTTGGATAAATACATTTTTAACACAAGGTTTTCTAAAAACTATAAATTCTTCCATTCTTTAATCTAAATACACATATCTATATCTACACCTACACTATATATAAAATGAGAGAGGGCTTTTGATGTAAGCAGAAATCTGCCATTTCATGTATTTCATAAACTATCCTTGATAATTATGTACTATCATATGGCTTTCTATCAAGCAACATGTATCTCTTTTTATTTTATTTTTCAATTTATTTAGCAAATATCAATTATAGTTATCAATTACTACCAAAATAACTATTTATTTATACGTTTTAGATTGGTGAATTTTCTACATATCTATTGTGAAAATATAAAATCAATTATTCTGAAAAATAATTTCAATAAATATAATAAAAAAATTGTATATTACTTGTACACAAATTGATGTATGCCTTGACCACTAGCATGAATTAATCTTATATATACATTGTCAAGTTTCTATGTATAACAGCTAATCATAATTTAAATTTAAAATCATACATTATTAAAGTATAAAAGATATATATACATATATATATTATATATATGTGTGTGTGTGTGTGCGCGCGCGTGTAACCGGGGTTGAACTGGTTAGAGCGGTTCGACAACAGATTGGTTCGCTCAACGTCCCGAGTTTTGAAATCCGATTTAGGAATTAGGGGTTGGGACTTGCGATTGACCTCCGTCTGCACTCTGCAGTGAGAGGCTGAGAAGAGAAGCGAGAGGTAACTGAAAACGAAACAAAAAAGAGAAAGGTAAAGGAAAGGAAACAACAAAAAGGAAAGTTTTTTTTTTTTGGTTTTAAAGCAGCAGTGAGAAGGAGCAATCGATCGTGAGATGGAATCGTCAAGGAAAGCGAGGGGGACGAAGACTCAAGAAGAGCAATGGATGGTTGAGAACGATGTCGGCCAAATTTATTCATCTGTCAGCAGTATTCCGCCGAATGCCCAATCCGTTTTGTTAGTCCGCCGTTCCCTCTCTGCCAATCTAATCCATTATTGAGTTTTCGGTCTCATGATTATATAGTCATTGTCACTGCTTTTATAGTACCTTTTTCTTTGCATTAGCAACGGTATATCGTGTTTGCTTCAAGGAGCTGACACTTTTGGTATGCTTAATGACTTTTCTTCCTCCATATGCAATAGCTTGGAGATCCGACGGATAATCACATTCAATATCTCATGCACGGTCTAAACAATCTTGGCCCGTCTTTCTCAACTCTCGATGCCAAGTATTCATTCTACTCTTCTCATTGTTATACAATACACTATATGTTTTTCATCTTCATTCAGAAAATTGGTTGACTGCATACGTGCGGTAAAAAAGTGAGGTAAAGAGTAACTTATGCATTGCAACTATTAGTTATCGCATTTAGTCTCTGATGAAATTTACTTATCCGTTTATTGAGTTTGAAGAGTCGCTGCTGTATAATTGGTGTTCAAATTATCTATTTGCAGTCGACCTTGGATTTGCTATTGGATCCTTCACTCAATTGCTCTATTGGGAGATTCGTTAGATGAGAACTGGAGCATAGTACTATCGAGTTTCTTAGTCGTTGCCAGGTTTCTTCTTCTTGCTGCAATGTTATTCTATTTTTGATCTTTTTCGTTTCTTATAATGCGATTGGATTGGAAGCTCATTTAACTTATTGATCTTTGCTTATAGTTTAGATTAACACTTGCTTTAGAATGTTAGTTGACCGTGGCTGTTGGATGGCATTCTCTAGAGTTCAACTGACTTTCTTGGTCTTCACAGCCTTTATCCTCGTAATCTCACTTAAAGGAGCTTTCATCCACCTCCATTGCCTCACCCCCTCGCTGCACCTTGGTTCTTAAAAGAGCTATCTATTTCATTTTTCTCCTTTCTTGGGATTATTTTAGACACGTTGGATGGTGTTGTATTAAAATTCCTAATCTTACTGTTTGCAATTCCACTAATAGTGTCGTTTGAAATTTGCACTTTCACTCATATCCAGCATCCAGTTGACCATGTGACCTAATGGCTAGATGCATTTTTCTCCCTTAAGCTTGAAACGCATTTCAGATGTGTCAATTTAGGTTTATGCAAGTGAACCCCTATTATTATCTGTGGATATCCTGTGTATTTTTTTCCCAAAGTGAAAACAATCTAGATCAGTCAGTACATTATCACTCTTGTACTAAAGACTGATTCTGTTGTTTCATTCCTAGCTTACAAGTTTCTGACCAACAAAAGATAGGATGTCATTTTCTGCCACACAGGGAAAGTGAGAAGGAAATGAAAAGAAAAAAAGTGAATGAATAGATGTACATTACAGAAAGGGAAAAAAAAAGATAGCCAAGAAAGGGATATCGCCACTTTCTGAACTGAGATATGCAATTTCATCATTACAACTGTGAGCAGTGTCGTACTAGTATATCTGAAAATTCAGTGAAACACCCTTTATGTTGTCATTTTTGAAATTGTATAACTTGTTGGATGCCTTCAGAATTTCTGTAATATGCACGAGTTTGCAGAGCATAAAACTTAGATCTGGAGAATCTCTATGTATCATAGCTTCTGAGATCTACAAGACTATTTTGTCTTATAGATTGTTACTGAGTTTCACATGCGCTGTTATGCCATAGGATCCGGACGGTGGATATGGTGGTGGACCTGGTCAGGCAAGTTCTTTTTCCTGTATGGCAATGTTTTACCCTTGCCATTGCTATCTTAGTATTATCTTTTTCCTCGACTTGTTCTGGTGATATTGTGGCTTATCATCATTTAAAATAGCAGAACTACTAAGTAAGATTTCGGATTTGTCGTTTTCGTTTCTCACTCTGTTTGCTTACGTGTCTCTCCAGCTAACCTTTATATGGGGATATGATGAAACATGTCATTATTCTGATAATTTTTTACATATTTTCTCCACTAGTACTGTAGACTATAATTGAAACCAGCTGCCTAATACTAGTGAATTAGTTGGAACAGAGTATACTCTAGTTGCCATTGTTTGCGTTGGATGGATATGCTCATTTATCATTTCCCCAGTGAGCCACACACATTTTTTGAGATTTTGTTGATCTCCTCATGCTCTCCTATTTCATTGCTACTAAGAATATCAGAGTAGTTTGTAGAAATTTGTCATGTTTGTTTATTCTGTCAAAAGTCCAACAAAGTAGCCAACAATGATTAGTTGTCGGATTCAAAATTTTTGTATTAAGCAATGATAGTTGTTTAATCTAGAATTTTTCTCTTCATAAAGTATTTAGTTGCTTTCTTGCTTATTCTCAGATGCCTCATCTTGCAACAACTTATGCTGCAGTGAACTCACTTATTACCTTGGGTGGTCCCAAGTCTTTGTCATCAATAATAGGTCTTCCAGAATCTATGCTTGTCATCATTAAATTTTGCTAGTTCCTTTGCTATTGGAAAAAAATCTCAGTTTGATTGTTTCTTATGTTACAGGGGAAGTTGCGTGCATTTTTGCTGCGAATGAAGGATGCAAGTGGAGGATTCAGGTTTAACATAATTTATCATTCGAGTATATAATGAATCTTGAAATTTTGCGAGGGTGAATTTGAAAAGTTTATTTACAGTTTGGAACATATTTTTCCCCTCAGGAAATCATCTTAGGATATAGGGGAGGAATTTAAACTGCTGCTTAGCCAATCTTAGCTTTTTCTATTGTTCTTTTTGCCATGCTTTCTGTATGCATGCCTCAGTGCTTCTACTTTATGAGATAGTCATGCAAAAATGAGAAACATCAAGGAGAACAGAGCATATTTACATGTTAGTTTGTATCGTGCTGAATAAATGCAAGTGAAAAAGGTTCTGGTTTTTCACATGGCCCATTTCAGTCTCATTTACCATTTAGCTAGTGCTTCCATGCTTCACTTGTAGATGTGCTTATGTTGTCTGTTTGATTTTGTTGGTTTTTACACCTTTTTTCACAAGTTGTCTTGTTTCTTTCCCTGCACATTTAGCTTGTTAGTTCTTTCTTGTCTTTTGATTAGCATTCTCTTTCCATCCTCTCCCTCCCTCCCTCCCTCCCTCTCTGATATATAATTGCGGAGGTTTTGGCATTTGTCATTTTCCTCCAAAAGCAACTTTTCCAACAAAATCAGGACAATTGCTAAAGTTGTATTTAATTTGATTATAATATTTTGCTCACTGCAAAATTATTTCTTATAAGTAGCTTATCCTCAGGATGCATGATGGTGGAGAAGTGGACGTTCGTGCTTGCTACACTGCTATTTCTGTAAGTTTAAGCACTCTCTGAGGTATAGAGTGTACTTATGCCCGTACACTCGCATACAGAAGCCATGTCCTTTATTTCCTTATTGTACTAGGTAGTTGAAGCGTGCAAATGTAAAACCTTGAGGGTAAATAGACTGCTGATTCATTTGGGCTGCCAGTTGATGACAATATCCACTGGCAAATTTTGGGAGATATTCTCTCTCTTGTGAAGTATTCTCATCATGTGGATTGTACATGCTTCATTATCTAATTTAACTTCGTTGCCTTGGACTTATTATTTTCCACTCTTCATGGGTTGCATTTTTGCATCCAGCTTCAATTGATTCCACCTATATCTTTTGATTCTTTTAGGTTGCCAGTGTTCTGAACATTCTGGATGATGAGCTGACACAAAATGTTGGAGATTACATTTTAAGGTTGGTTTCACGTATGTCTGCTTATTGTCATTTGCAATTTGTGCCTGCAAATTCATTGTCAGGTTGGCTGGTTCTCCAACTACTGTTTTGGATCTTTTGGAGTTAATGATGATGCCTGAGTCATATGATGTATAGATGGTACAATTGCTTATAAAGTTCCTTCCAACCTGCATTCTTACTATAGCCCATGCAGTACTTTGATTATCATGCAAAACCGGAAGCCAAGGTGTGATATCTTGAAGATTTAAATGTATTGTATTAAGCTTGTATATATGGAGGGTCTGCTTTGATGAACATGTTAATATCTTCTTTTTTGTTTTCCATTAATAAATTTAAGTGATCTAGTTGATTTTACCGTTTTCATCCTGCCTCATTGTTCTCCTCTGTGGAGATGTTTGTTCCTTTATAGTCTGTGCATGGCTCTACTTTTGTTGTCTGATTAATACTCTTTCAGCTTTGAGCATACTTTGTAAGCATGGAAAGCTTTTCTGCTATGGTGTGATAACAAGGTTGCTTCAATTTACTCATTAATTAATTATGCATTACCGATGGTTTATCTTCATAACAAGGCTGTTTCAGACAATCATGGAATTGTCTTTGCGTTTTGCATCTTGGCTATGTCATTTCTATAGTAAAGTTTACTGGCTTGCAGTAGTCAATGTATGCGTTGCTGATTGAAGAAGTTGAAAATTTTGGATGATGTCATCTTGTAGCATCAGCCAAGTCTTTTGTCCAATCTGTACCCTTGTTAAATCAAGTTTTGTTCGACTTGCTTGGTACTAGTCTTCCTTGATTCAAAGTCATGTTTACATCTGCAGTTGCCAAACTTATGAAGGTGGAATAGCTGGTGAACCAGGTTCTGAGGCTCATGGAGGGTAAAGCTACATTCTCCTGTTATATTAGTTATGTCAATGTCGGTCATATACTAAGTAGATACTCTAGTGCTAAGGTGTGTAAGATCCACTTATGAACATGAAAGATGGATGGCTCCTAACCCAGAGGACTTGGAGATAACACATCCTCATTCTTTTTGAGAAAATTGGAATATGACATGTTGGATGCACTAGATTATTGTGACATGGATAAGTTCAACTATGTATGTTTCCGTGGAAAGTCATGAATGTTTCACTTATGTAGATTAATGGTTAGGTATTGAAGTATGAAATTCTTGTATAATGATTTATAATTGTTTGTCAACTATATTGACATAATTGTCTTAGAAAACTCCTTGGTGTCGTGTTTGATGTTTAAATAACTTTTCTTTTCTTCATCCGCTATACGTAGATTTTATACTAGATCACCAGTATTTTAGGTGCTCACATACTTGATGCAGCCATCCAGGACCTGATTCCCTTTCTTGGGTTGCATTTTAGGTACACATTCTGTGGTTTAGCAGCGATGATTCTGATCAATGAGGTCCATCGGTTGGATTTGCCTTGCTTGATTGTAAGATTCTTTTTGTTTGAATTTTGCCTCTGAACTTGACTTTTTTCTGTAGGTTTCAGTCTAAAGTCTGGACTATTATCAACATAGATATTCAGTATTTTGTGTTTTACCATGGTGTAGTTTACCATTTTCATGGTGTCTTGAATGTAGGCTCAGGTTGATTAGTTGTGGAACATGCATCTCTTAACAATATGGAGCTCAATTTTATATGCCTCTTTTCGGGAGTATTTTTGCTAGATGTGTTGCAAATTAATTAATTCTTTTATTACGTGATGGCATTTACAACTGTGCCAGGACTGGGTTGTCTTCAGACAAGGTGTTGAAGGTGGATTTCAAGGGAGAACAAATAAACTGGTTGATGGCTGCTATTCCTTTTGGCAGGTAATTGCCTGCTTGATTTTCTCATTTGAAATTTTTATTTCAACTTATTAAAATGTTTAATACATTACATTGCAGGGAGGAGTTGCTGTCATTGTACAAAAGTTGCATTCAGTTATCTGTGAACAGTTGGGTTTGTCAAAAGTTTTAGACTCTGAGTGCGACTCGGAAAGTTATCATGATTATGAAACATCAGATATATCTGATGTAGAAGAATGCACTGTGGAAACTTCTTGCCCTCTTGGTGGAACTTGCCATCGTAGAAAAGAAGGTACACCATATTTTCATAATGCTACTGTCTTCCATGTAAACAGGTTTGGTTAGTTTATCTTTACTTTCTGCACCTTGCAACCTTTCTTTCATGAACGCTGCCCCAACAAAATGAATTGGGACACTGCTCAGCTTCTTTTGATGGAGCTATACATTTACTACTTGCATCTTTGTGTTTGCTTTGCTGCTGGCAAGATAATTTTTCTTATGCAGTTAGTTTTGCAGACATTGGTGTTGATTTCATCAGCAACAAGAGGGCAATTGCACCTATTTTCAGTAGCATGCATTTGCAGCAATACCTTCTTTTGTGTTCACAGGTACCAAATCCTAGTTTTAACCAGTCACGGTGTTATTTGCTAATAATGTACAAATTCTCTTCTTGTGAAGGCATATTCTTGCCTGTTTCCTAGCCAATTTTGTTTAAATGCAGTTCCTGTCCTCACATTACGTGGTTGATGCAGGAAGGGGCTGGTTTCAGAGATAAACCTGGGAAGCCTAGGGATCATTATCATACATGTTACTGTCTAAGTGGATTATCCGTTTGTCAATATTGCTCATCTGCAGATGCTGATTCTCCACCACTGGCTAGAGATATACTGGGTCCTTACTCTAATTTGTTGGAACAACTTCACCCCTTATATAACCTTGTCTTAGACCGTTACTATGAAGCACATGATTTTTTTTCAAAATTTTAGGCAACTTATCCAATGCTTGATGAGAAAACATGGGCTGTAGCATTTGATGGTGTTCATATGGGCTCTCTCCCGCGTAGCAGTTAGTGTAAAAACATAGTTGTTGGGGCTGACGTTACGCGAGACTTCCTACCACCTCTCAATTTCTTCTGTTATTTATACTACCTCTCTGGTGTCGGGTAGGTTTGGGTCCAAAATTGACCGTTGAAACTTTGTAAATTTAGGCAATTTTGTCGGTGTCCGGTCAGGACGATTTAGTAGCTAAGGATATCACTTAGTTTGTGTAATCTTTATATAAAGTGGGTGATTTCATATTTGATATTTGGAATGTGATGCCATTAGTTACTGAACTAGCTTAAAGAGCTGTACTTGTTTCGACCATATTGGTGCCACCTTTGTATCAGAAACCATTTGGTATTTGTGGTTTCTTAACTTACAACTGGCCTGTTGCATTACATGCCAACTCCTGTATCACCCCGTCCACAGGCAGAGGTACATTTTGCGCCTGGTACTCAAAAGAAAATGTATATTTTAGTTATGGTTCTTGAAAGCTTCACTTGTGCCTCCACTGATTTGTGAGAAGTACATGCAGTACCGACTAAATATGCATTGGTGGCTGCGCTGTGTGAATGTTATTAGTGTGTAAGATGTGTCTAGAAAAGAAGGAAAAATTTACTTTTGGCCCCAGTGAGAAATAATTCTGGCTCTGGTGCTGATCCATCCCAAACATTAATGATAATAAGAGTAAAGAAATAGTGCAGGCTTGGATTATTTTTCTTTTGTTTTATTTGTTTATCTATTCCTTCCTGTGAGAATCATGGGAATAAATACGTGCTTGAACTCGTGTTTAAAGTTGAATTTTCTTTTCCTTCAAAGTTAAAAAGAGAGGTGCAAATATGTTCTTTGCTGGATTTCGATAATTTTTTGGCCCCATGTTCTTGAAAGCAATCCCAGGAATCAAGTATAAGATGGATGATGGAAGCGGTTTGCCTTTTTAGTACTAATTAAGCCACGTAATAAATTGAAAGACTTATTTGGACTGAGGGATTTGATAAAGGATATAAAATTCTCTCAGATTCCTCTAAGTTATTTGGATTATTAGGGAGTTATTTGAATTTATAATGATTGGTGATTTACAAACTCCAAATAAATACCTTCTAAGTCATTCATGCAACGTAAGAGGATTTGAGAAGATTCAGATTCTTCCTTAAAACTTTCAATGTAAGTCTATAATCTAAAAACAGCCAAAAGTAAATCATTGAACTAATTGCAGCTAGCGTATCAATTTTGTGGGCAGTTTTGCAATTATAGCTACTTCACGGTATGTTGGTAGTAGGTAACGGCAAAGAAACTCATTTAATTAAATTTATCCATATTCGCCTATGAATAAATGGGTATGAATATTTTAAATTTTTATATATGGGTATAAATGAGTTACTCAATAATACCTATTTATATCTTAAATTTTTGTATATGGGTATAAAATTGATTACTCAATAATACCCACCCATTAAACCCAATTAACTTATTTAGAATTGTCTTCCCCCAAAACCTCCTTTCTTTCCCAACCCTTTTTTTTTTCAAATTTTTCATTTTATCACGATGTTAACTACTTTTATTTCATTATTATTATTATTTGTTAATTTTATTTTATCATTTTATTTTCTCTTAGTTTGTTAACTTGCTTATTTTTCAGCATTATCAATTTATGACAAGTTTTAACCTCTTTTCCTACCTTTTCAAAATGAAATTTTAAATTTACACATGAAAAAAATGTAAGGGTTCAAAATTTTGGATTAAGTTTTTATGTTAATTTTTATAGTACTTAATTCAAATTTTTATATTCTTATTGTTCAATTATCAAATAGTACGTAATTTTGCGACATAGAGTACGGACGTAAAAAAAATTAGAAATTAGGCTTATTGAGTATTATAAGTAAATATTTAAAACTAATGATGGGTGCAAAGCTGGTATAAATAATTTAGTTTGTAAAATAAATTTAAATGAGTTTATAAAAAGTTAAAATAAATGGGTTATAAATGGGTAATTGGGTTATCCAATTCATTTTTTAACTTACCCATTTAGATCCATCTAATCAAATGGGTATAAATGACTTGATTCAGTTATGCCCATTACCCATTTTAATCAATCCAAACCCTTTCAAGTCACCCATTTTAACACCTCTAGTAGTGGGTATGTAAAAAAGGTTCCTGAACACTCATGTGAAGAGTAATAATAATGAAAAATTATATATGGTCCTTTAAGGAACTATTTCCTCATAGTTTTCTATATTATATTTTAAAAGGTAAATGTCATATGCATTATCAATTTATGTAAAAATGCGCGAGCAATACACATAATTTGATTACAAATTTAAATTTCAGGTTTTTCGTAAAGCAAAACAGTAAAATCGCACAAAAAAACTAAAGTCTTGACCCATTTAGCTTTCCGGTCCAATTTTACATCTTCGTTTGGAGGCGAGGTAGAAGCGTCTTTTACTGTAATTTTTTCCTTCAGGTTCAAGAGACTCTTCTTCTAAATAATTTTGTTTTTTTGTTGAAACGATAGGCATACAATTATTTTATACTACAGCCTACGGGAGGGAAGGATTTAAAAAGGTCAAGAAAAAACAGAAGAGATGTCAAAAAAAACAGAAGGGACTGAACCACCTACCGACTCAGGTGAGTGCACTTGTCTGGAAGCCACTTGAAATGGCTCGCCATATTTTGTGGCCAATGGTGCCTCAGTGGTTTCTTCTAAGTAATACTTTTTTTTTTTTTTTTGTCATCACTGTGGGTATCCGGGTCTACACCCGACTAATCCCACAGCGCTACAGCAGAGCGGGCCCGACCGATGCTGAAGAAGATAACAACTGGATTGCTGCCCGGGATCGAATCCAGGTGAAACTCACCTAAGGAGGCTGCTTCAACCAGCAGACCAACCCAGCGTGTGCTTCTAAGTAATACTTGAAGCATCGAATCTGGTGGTTCTCTATTCCAAATTAAATACTATATATAACAATTTGTGTAGAGCAGTCGGTCCAGTCATAGTCTCTCACACACATACGCCCGCACAGTCAGACACCCGTGGGGATCGAAATCTTTAATTACAAATTTAAATTAGGTAAATACAGGGGCGGTCGGAACCTGACGGATCAGGTATTTGCAATTGGTCTTCGAAAGCATGAGTGCCAAAACCGTCGTTGTCTTCGGCCTTGGGCTTCCGGGTGGGGTCAGGACTCAGGAGGGCGGTGCTGCGTGTTTTTTCCATTATTCAAAGGTCTTACTCTTCACTCTTCATTCCTTACCGCCTTCGAATTAATCATCTAGCATTCCAATTCCGCGCTACCAAAAGCTAATAATTCCAGATTCACTCCAAATCCTGAACTCACTCGAACACTAGTAGTAGAACAAAACTATGGACAACTCGAGAAAGTCGAGCATCAGCTCCGACAAAGAAGATTTACATGTGGTGGATTCCTCCAATCGTGATAGCGAAGAGTTTAAGCCACCCTCGCTGCCGACAAGGTCTCCGGATTACTCACCCGAGGGATCATCAATTTCCTCGGATCACACATCTCTTACTCATGGGTCCTCCCCAATTCCAACCCGAGAGAGGACCAAACCTCCCCGCCGCACAGCCCACCTGGAAAATTGCCTCCTAAGCCTCGGCTGCCAGCGCCGGCTATCAATCGCTACGTCGTAGGCGAGCCCTTCTCAGTGTCCAAGATGGCAGATTCAGGTGGGCAAGGAGGAAGGGTGGAGGACGGTCATGAGCAGGTTAAAGCAAGTAGCGGACGCAGGTTTCGACCGTCTCTTTGGATTCCGAGGAGGGCAAAGACAGAGCAATTGATGAAGAAGGCGGCGTTGGGGTTTAGGGCTTTTGGGTTTTTGTTCTCATTGGTTTCCTTTTCCGTCATGGCTGCGATAGACATGAAGGTTGGGCACTTGATTCATTCGATCGTTACAAGGAATTCAGGTCTCTCAACTAGAATGAGTAGTACTCTCTCTTTTGTTAAATTATATCATTACTTACTAGTTAATATAGCTGGTATGGTCTAGTATCGTATGTGACTCTGTTAGTCTGCTGAAACTTTGTACCATAAAGTAGTAAGAAGCATTGAAAATTTTTTGCAACCAATATATGTCAGGTACTGTATGACAGTGAATGTGATCGCATTTCTGTACTCCGGAGCACAGGCCGTGGATCTGGGCTACCAGTTATGCGCTTCCAAGTCAAGGCTTCTGCACCGTTTTCGACACCCTATTGATTTTGCTCTTGACCAGGCAAGTCCATATCATTTTCATTATTCCCGATGGCTGATCATTTAGTTATTGAACTTTCTCTTGTTTCTTTCTTACTACTTCCAAGAATTCGTTGTTAATGTTTTTGTTGCATGCTTTATAGGAGTTTTTTTTTTGAGTATCTAGGGAGTCTGATTACTTGTTTTACTAGGCACTGGTTATTTTGCCAAGGTAAATTGGGGGCATTTGAAGGAATGTTAATCAGGGACCACACGGTAGTGGTGATGGTGTTCTCTTCATTTAATGTCCAAATTATGATAATGGTAATCGATTGAGTAGAAGAAAAGGGGACACCTTGGATTGGGTCATTCGTGTGGTTTTGAGGTGGGTGGAAGAAATAATTGTTGCCGTGTTGCAACGTTCAAGGGTCTTTCGTAGGCCTTAGTCCGACCTTAAATGGAGTTTTAGTACTAGTAACCTTGTATTTTTCCTATCGCTTTTATGTGGGTCATAATACACTTGGCTGATATTCCCCCACAGCATTAACAGTGGCTGGAATTGGAAGTTGCTACTTTTTGCCGAGGGTCCATGCTTCTAGTTCTAAAACTATCGCTTTTGCTGGTAGATTCTCTGCTTCGTGAAATTATCTAACACGGGATACTGCATTTTTAAATTCTAAAATGATGGAAACTAGTGACAGGACTAGTTTTATAAGCTTTCAAAAGAGAGAGATCAGCAATAAGCAGAAGGCAAAAGAAGAAGGAAGAACCTGATCTTTTTCTTGCAATGTTTCAAGGGTCCAATGATGCTTTAGTATTTGCACCTTTTCCATGTTTCCGTTGCATGATATAAGTAACCTACTTGCTTTCTGCACTTCCTCATCATGGTGCTCTAATAATATTCTCTTGGTTGTCAACACCGTTTGATTTAGCCTGGTTTAGAACGGCAGACTTTAAACAATTAAAACTTGGGGCAAATTTTCACCTGCATCGGGCAGATTGTTTCTAGGATCTTGTATACAGGAGGACAAAAGAGGCTGCTCTGTAAAGAGTACTTGTACAAACTTTTCAAGTTTTATTTATTCAGCCTTCTGTTATTTACCAGACTCCAAGACAATTACATCAGTCTGATCTGCCGGACCTGCCTTCAATTCGGAAGCTTCTAATCAAAGCTTTAATCTAGAAAGAATAATGATATGTTTTACTAGGCGTTTCTTTCTTTTCCATTTTGTTGGATTAAATGAAACAAGCTGATCTTCCATCTTATTATGGGCCAAAACTTAGTGGCGATAGAAATGGTTTGAAATTTTCAGATGATATCGTATCTTCTAATATCAGCATCATCTTCTGCTGCTACTCGAGTTGAGGACTGGGAATCAAATTGGGGCAAGGACAAATTCCCAGATATGGCAAGCACGGCTGTGTCAATGTCCTTCCTTGCATTTGCGGCCCTAGCTTCCACTGCTCTCATATCTGGCTATGGCCTTTGCACGTCCAGACAGATGTAGTATTTAGTTTTTCTGGATATATGTGATGTTCTTTTATAGTATATACAACCGGACTAAACTCTTGCTATAAAGGATGCCTGAATTGTGTATATCTAGGTGGATTTTTCTTCCTTACAAATGGTTTTTTTTTTTTTTTATAACGAATAGGACGACTTTAATACAACTCTGATAATACAGTGCTTTTTCGAAGATGTATACCAAATTTTTTTTTTGGCTATTGCTGCCTTGTGAAATATATTTTTGTGTTGATAAATGCAGTTATTTTAGTTGTTGAAGAAATTTTGTGGACAGTTAATATTGTTGGTTCAGAAGGAACCAGCCGTGTTGAAATTGCAGTTTGTAACTCAGCTACTTGAGTTGCGGGCTGAGCTTCGGACACTCGCACCGACTCACAGTCACGGGAGAGGGTTGTGGATGTGGAGCAAGCAATGTCGACCGAGTTCGCCTTCCGTTTCCAATTTCTCAGTCCTCGATCCTTCTTCCTCCTTGAACCCGCCATCTCCGCCACCTCAGCGGCAAAACACTACTCCAATTTCCCTGAAGTTAAAAAAATCAACGATGAAGATCCCCTTCTTGCAAAATCAAGCCTTCATCTCTCCGAATCATCAATAAATAGCACATACTCTGTCATCTCAAAATTACTCTCTTATGCCTCAGTCTTTCTTCCCTTCCTTCACAAAAGACAGCCCTCTAAGGTAAAGAATTAAAAAATTTAATGTGTGAAATAAAAATTGAATTGTGTGGTACGAAATACTAAGAGAGATTAAACGAAATAAAACTATGTCGCAACAAAAAAAAAAAACCGCATTACATCAAGTAAATGAATGCTTTCGCAATTGTGAAAGAGCATTCAAGCGTAATTATAAATTGCAAATGGCCACACATTCTAGTAGTATGTGTTAAGTAAATAATCATTCACTAGAGCATATTGATACAGAAGTTGGGCTTCCATTCTATTTGACAAATGAGCTTAAGCCCTCAGGCGAGTGGGCACTGGGTGAAACTCTAAACAAGGCAAATTCAAGGCCCAATTCTAGTAGAAGGGCATTGGGTGAAACACAAGCGGAAAAACAAGCAAATTCAAGACCCAATTCTGACACCAGATAAAGAAGTTGAATTTCTATTTCAAAATCAATTGGCAATTAATGGGAGATGCTCAACATCTCAAAAACAAGTTGTTAATTGTTCTTTTACAGCCACAACGAGTCATTAATTCGTGGTTCTGTTACTTCTTGCACAATTGTTCTTTCACAGCCACAAACCAGGCATTAATTCATTTTACTCTCAATTTCTTGTCCAGCCACCGTTTGATGCTCATTCCCCATTTCCACTCAAGATTGATCCGGGGGCGTGGCGCTGGGAAATTGCACAAAAAGCAATGATAAAGTGAAAAAAATTGATCTGCGAGATCTGAATCTCTTTCCCACTAAGTTTCTGCGGCGTGTAATGAGGCAATCAATACCTTGACAGCGTAAACGAAGGAAGCAGATGAGGGAGGTGAAAGGCACGGGCTAAGAGATTCGTGTCACCATTATTTTATTTTTGCGATAACTTCCCCACTTCAGCTTCTATCTCTGTTAGGTATCTGCTACCTCCGTTCCTGTCCCAAATCGAAACTCTCTCTCAGTTGATTCTGTTCACATACCTTATCGCCTAGCCAATGGCAGTTGATTATTGTTACTCTCAAGTGATTCTTCCCTTTTATCCATCCCACTTCGAAAGATTGTGGGGTAGTTACCCTGGGTTTAAGGTCCTCAGCCGCACTTTCAATTATCAATTGGCTGAATGGTATTGGTTTGTGAGCTCCACCTTAAATTGTGTTCTGCACCAAGATTTCGATTATCTCTGAGTGTTAATCTAACTTTGTTGTGTGTTTTCCAGTAATTTCGATTGTTGAAAAAAAGTGATTCTTCCCTTTTATATTTATTTTGTAATGACAAAATTAGTTAAGCCAAAATGCTCTTCACCATAGCCGGGAAATCTTAAAGAAAGCCAAGATGTTAAATTTTGAAGCAAAAAAAGGATGATTTTGCTTTTACAATTTTTGCAGCAAAGAAGATGCTAGTCGTCTTGATTGCAGGGAAGAGGGATATTTTCTTCTTCCATTCAGGGGTTGGGTACTTCAACAATTTTTTAGATCAATCATGGGAAGCTGATGGGAAAATATATAGTAGAACCGACTAGAACAGGTGACTGTGATTTTGTGAATTTACATTGCATTAGTGTCTGTCATCAAACCATTACTACTCTCTGCATTACCATCATTTAGATAAACTTGCAGTCCAATCAAACTAAAAAAGATTCTGGCACTGATTTGATAAGGGTACGGATACTCGATCCACTGATTATTAAATTATTAATGAGTCTCTCTCGAAAGAATCTCTGTCTCGATATATAATTATTATTATTATTATATGGCCAAAAACTTGCACAGACACGTTCGTCTTAAAGCAAGTCGCGCGAAATATAACTATTAATTATTGCGAGGTGTCGATTTTGTTCACTCAACTTTTTCATTAAGAAAAAATGTTATTGAATTAGTAAATTTGTATTTTTAGTCACTTCGTCCGTTTATACTGTTAGGAGAGACGGAAAATAACTTTTTAAGGAACAATTTTATCTACACAACTTTTGTGGAAAAAATTTCGTCTGATAAATGAAGAGACAATAGTGGAGTTTTGAATGTTGGTAAAATTTTTGACAAAATAAACAATGGATGAGAAAAGTTGCAGTATTAATCTAGCAAAATCAAAGTAATCAATGAAAAGAATAAAAAATCGACCAAAGATGAAGATTAGCAGTAGCCATCAATTTGCAGCCTTCCAAACTTGTGTCCTTGCTAGGCCCCCAAATCCACATTGATGCATTAACAATTGTCCAGGTTCTAACAAAAACAACAATGACCATTTTTTTCCTATTCTTTCTTCCAAGTTTCTCATTCAGATTTTTTACTTGAACCTCCATTTTCTCAACTTTGTTTTGCAACTTGAGAACTTGCTGTCGCAAAGTTTCATTCTCAATTTCCAACCTATTTACTCTCCTTAAAAGACCAGGTATGACTTGTTTGGAACGCTCACACATTTCATCATCATACCAATTCCAATAACCACAACCATCAATCTATAAAAAAATTGTCCAAATTCTTTTTAGCCGATAAATGTCCAAAAATTAAACATAAACTTAATTTAACGAATTTCTTACATCTTCACACACTTACCTCGCCTTTAGCACATTCAACATATCTCCTTACCGGGTTCCTATCAATCCATGAAATCTTCAAATTGGTTTTAGTACCACAAGAACAGATCGCGGTTGTTTCCTTGCGTTTTTCTCTCATGAAGCTTAAACACATTCCCAGCAAATTGCAGCTGCTTGTATTGCTCCTCCTACTCCATATTTGAGGACAAATCTATTAGAGGGTAAGGGTTTGTACTTTCTAATTGAACTTGAGAGTTGTTTAACACATTTGAGAGCAATTTATGTTGAAGAGATTTAAGGAAAAGACTGTACAAATGAAATTGCTCCTCAAAAAGTTATTTTCCATCTCTTATGATAGTATAAATATACGGAGTGATTAAAACGATACAAATTTATTAATTCAATGATATTTTTAGCTAATAAAAATATTTAGTGACTAAAACCTTCATCTCGCAATAGTTTATTGACATTTCGCACAATTTGCTCTTCGTTTTACGGGGAGCGCGAAGCACACAATCTGTCCCCCAAAGGGGAAAAGGAAGAAAAACAAATTCCCGGTTTGACAAAGTCAGTCGACAACTACAAATTGAAAGCTGCAACTGCAAGACTCATGCATAGTTTGAGGCATTTGCCATCCCCCAAATAACATACATAGAAAGAAAGAAAGAAAGAAATAGTAGCAAGTAGATCTCAGCCAAATTATTCGGCCATGGCAACCGGTACTCCAGTTAACATCCCCTCTAAAATGAAGGCCTGGGTCTATGGCCAACCTCGGTTGATGTTCCTGACGTAAATGATGACCAGGTTTTGATCAAAGTAGTTGCTGCGTCCCTGAATCCAGTCGACTTCAAACGCATGGCTGGATCATTCGAGGCCACTGATTCTCCTCTCCGGTAAACCTCCTTTTTTTTTTTTTTTAGCTTTTTGTTTTAGTCACTAGATAGTCCTTGTGTGGATTTACTGTTTTTTTTTATCAGGTAGACTGTTGCGGGATATGATGATGTGGCGGGGGTAGTTAGAGTTTTTTTTTTTTTTTTGAAAAGAAGTGGTAGTTAGAGTTGGGATCGAAGTGAAGGAATTCAAGGTCGGGGATGAAGTATATGGAGAAATTCACGAGCATGCCCACCACCCAAAGGATTGTGGGTCACTGGCGGAGTACACTGCAGTGGATGAGAAGGTTTGGGTTTCGCCGAGGCAGCTAGTCTTCCTCTAGCCGTTGAAACAGCGTGCGAGGGCCTTGAAAGCGCTGCTTTTCAGCTGGTAAATCAATTCTTGTTTTAGGTGGTGCTGAACTTCCAGTACTTTAAAACACCTAGTGAAAATCAGCTCTAATTGGTCAGTTCCAAAGAATTCGTGATAAATGATAATTATTGAGAATCAATCAACAAGAAGTGGTAGCAGTACTGTACTAAGTCATCCTTGGCAGAGACAACCAAAATTTTTTTTTTTTTTTTACTTTATGTATCAATGAAAATTTCATATTTGGCTGAACCTTCATAGCAATTTTACGTTTGGCTTTTGAGTTATTAGATCAATTAAAAGTAGTTCTGAAGATTGACCTTTGATCAGAACACGACGATAATTCATGCATTGACTGAAACGGTTTCTTGATCCGAGCAGGTGGCAAAGAATGTGTTTGGTGCATGCAGAGCGGCAGCAACTTGTAGGTGCTGATTTTGGCAATCGACTACAGGAAGAACAAGTATGAAGATTTGCCAGAGAAATTTGATACCGTTGGTAAGAATGAATCCTAAGCAATCAAATCAGTCTCTTGCTCTCTGTTTACTGCAGCACGTAAAAGTTTCTGGTGCTAGTAAATCAAATGAGCAGGTGAGAGTGGCAGGGTATCGAGGCAGTAAAAGAAGGCGGAAGGGAAGGGCGGTGACAATCTGGCCGGCGGGGCCAGTGGTTCCCTTCCCCCTGCTAGTCATAACGTGTTTGTGGTCACTTCAACCGTCTCCGTCTTAAAGAAACTCAAACCTTTCATAGAGGAGGAGAAGCTGAAGCCGGTGATTGACCCTAAAGGCCCATTTCCCATTGAAGCATTTTCCCATATTCAAAGTGGCAGAGCTACCGGCAAGGCGTATATATCCAATGCCCTGATCTCACGAATCATTGCCCTCTCCAGTCCCCGGAGTGGACGCATCATAACCTTTTTCACTACACCTATTAAATAGTAAGAAGGATTCTAGATTGCCTTTCTTTCTTTTCTCTTTTAATATGCTGCCACTAGTAGTGGTTTGGTAAGAGACACGTACCGGAATAAATTTTTTTAAAAAAGATAATCGGCGGTTTCTGCTTGTGCACTAATAATAATATAGAAAGTAATTGCTAGCTAGTAAGTAGTTCTGTTAAGTACGTGTAATTGCGACCGGTTCAGTAGCCTCCTCTCAGGAGCAAGGTCCCGTGTTCGACTCTCTTCCCGTATCACGCTGAAATCTTTGGGGCGGCTCTTCCAGGGGATTAGTCTGATCAATTGACCAAGATACCACCAGTCGGAAAAAAAAAAAAAGAAAGTACGTGCAATTGCAAGTTTGTAGTCCTATTTCTTTTTATATTCTGTAGCAAAAACGCCAAAACATTTCCTTTTCAACGTGTCTCTTAACTTTGACTACCTGAAATGGCATTCCTCCATTTCAAGTATTATCCATCACATATGCGGCTCGCAAACTTTTTTTTTTCCCTTTTGCTTCTTTTTTTTTTTGTTTGTTTTCCATTCCCCCCCCCCCCCAACCCCAAAAAAAAAAAAGAAAAAAGAAACTCCCCTTTAACGGAATGAGTGGGGAGTAGAGTCCGGTTGACTTTTCCAAAGTTAGTAGAATCCGTCAGACGAACAATAGTAGTATAAGTTACGTCATCGTGTTGCTGCACTCTAAGTCTAAGGAAGGAAAACAAAACAAGAATGAGGTGGCAGTAAAAATTTATTATATTGATAAATTGGATCAAGCAGCATGTTACATGATGGATGCTGCATCATCCGATACTATAACAGAGAATATAATGACGGATTAAATGCTAAGTTGTAGTTATTGGTGTGTAGATCAAATTTTGCGGCATGAAGCAAATAACAATCTTCACTTCTTCTATACATAATGCTTCAAGAATTGGTGTGGCTGGTTCTGGAGTCCAAGCACCAGCAATAATAGTCAGACCTTGAGATCTCTAGCAATTTTTCAGGAGTCATCCTCTCGAGCTCGTTCTGTCGCCATGACGCAAAATTGTTGCGGTTCTGGGGGTCGGTAGCAAGAGGGCAGTCCTCCGTATCGTGATTCTGTGATCTCATTCTCATGTAGAGCCTCAGTGTAGCAACGCAGTCTTCATACGGATCTTGCTGGCCCGTTTGAATGTCATAGCTGCCCACCACCACCACCAAAAAGAAAAAAACATTTTCCTTAGCAGAGTCCCCAAAAAAAAAATAAAAAAAAATCATGATGTTGTTATTCTTGATGTAATGTACTACTAACATCCAGACTTTAATTAAGCTACTTACCCAAGGTATGCTTTTGTCAAATACTTGAGCGAGTTGCTAAGCTTGCTGGTTTTCATAAGTGGTGGATATTTGGCCGTGTCCCTGCCAAAAAAATTTTTTTTCAGAAAAAAAAAGGAGTTTCATAGGCGTCAAAATTGGTGTTCCTGCAGCAAAGTATATATATATAATTGGTGGGCGGCCCCGTAACTAGCTAACTTGCCTGATCATTATCGGTGGATACTCCATTTCCAAACACTTAAGATCGTGATCCAAACCATGTCCCACAAGGACGCGAGCTCTTCCTCCTCTAGAACGGATGTGCCATATTGGTTCCCCGTTGCATAAATAGTCCTGAATCCTTCTCTGCACTTGTTTCAACGGCATCGCTTCCCTTAGAAATTCTGGTCGCAATCCCGTTGTTTCATACCTGCAGAAGAATTTTTCAAAGTCCGTCTCTAGCTAGAGTGCAAATTCACTTTCTATGTGCCTATGTAGTATGTGAATTTTGACGATCTTTTTGTTGCTCCATTACCTGTAGTTTGTGACGGGAAGCTGTGGCTTGACATATGCATGAAAGATTATCCTTTCGTGCTCATCGATGAGGCAAATTCTTGCACACAGATCTAAAGAACCATCGCTACCGCCTCCAACCATTTTGCAAGCCAGGGCGACCACCTTCGCTCTACTGTTGTCCAGCCTTAATTCATCTTGTATGCCCAAATTTGCCAGACGACACAGAACCCCCTACGTACAAAAAACAAAAAAGTTTTACTATTTGTCGTGGAATGGAAATGCGAATATACACCTGAGTTTAATTGTCGTTCCATACATTGTTCGAACGTGAGAATTGGCATGCTTCCCGGTGATTCCAGAGCGCACTGCGACTGCTCAGGACTGTTAAGCAAAGGTCACATCCCCGGTCCTTGAAAATCCTCTCACATTCTGCTTTCGGGAGCGGCCCTGGTTTTGCAATTCAATCCCGCATGTGTCAGAACCAACCACATCAGATCAAATGGAAAAGGCAGAGAGCCGAAAATGGTTGAATAATTACTGTGTTGGCTAGGACAGAAATGATTTAATTAACCTATAAGATGTTCTCTCAGAGATTCAAATGATCGACAATGTTTCCTGCAAATTCCGCACATGGGTTCATGAACCGAATGATAGGATGTCCTCATGTGTTCCACAAGGTGTTCCATTTTGTTGAACTGCCTATAGCATGCAGCGCATTTGTTCCTGAGAGCATCATCATGAAACGCTAAATTATTGCCTCTCTCTTTTTCATGCACAACATGAACCTTTTCATCTTGATCAGGAGGAAACAATAAATAAAAAAGTATTCAATAGCACGGTAGAGATTTTACCTCAGAGTCTCAGAAGACTCGTGTCTGCTGTCCATACCGAACTGATCTCACGGCTAACAATGCACCAGTGCTTAAGTGGAGAAGAGAGGCAGCAGTTTTCAGCAAGAAAGCTTAAAGGTTACAAGGTATTTATATCAGTTGGAAAGAATATTATTCTTTCCAACCTGAGGATAAAAAGAAAAAGATACCTGGATGGTCAAGACCGCCATTCCCTTCGAGTCACGCCAATCCTGGACCTCAGAGTCTCAGACGATCCCTCCATTCTATCTCTTTTTCTCTTTCTTTCTCACTGTAGAAATTAGAAGTTAGAATTAGAATTAGAATACGCCCTGTATAACTTAACCATGTCACGTTGGCGGGCACATTCGTTGTCATCCAATTTCTGGGGGCCCACATCGAGCAGACACTAGTACTAGAATCTTTATAATGTTAATGAATCACGTCTGCACCAGATTGATCAAGTAATAATTACCAAGTTACTACTACCAGCTACTGGTAGCACCAAGTATGCATGACTGCCCTATGAGAATCAAAGGCATAATAATACTCCATACTTGTGCATGCATGTCCTTTTCTTGGCTGATGTAGCAGAAGAATGTGTTGGACAGTCAGTCGTGGAAACTAAGGACTAATATTATTATTAGTTGGTCTTTTTTTTGACAGAGTGGTGCTGCTCAAATTCTTTCTTGCGTACGGAATAAGTTTAGATAAGGTCAAAAGCTGCAGTATACTGAACAGATTGAGTCTTGAACTGTTGATCGACATAAATTCCAAAAGAGTATTTGGACAGGAGCGATGAACTTGGAATTGAACGGTCAATGAATGTTGATCAGAAAGTGCACACAGGAAATGGGGTTTTACATAAAAAAGTTAAAACTGAGGTTCAAACGGTACAAATCACTTTCGGCAGTGCCGCAAAAGCGGCTGAGGCAGGTGATAAGGGAGGTATTCAAGGCAAGCTGCTAATGAGGAATTGAGAATGGGCAGCTTCTTTACAGCACATTTGTGCACCCACGGTGTTTCTGTGGCAGAATCATTGTTCATTTTCTTTAAAAAAAAAAAGTAGTTTACATTTTTAAGATGAATTAAGAATATACAAAGCCAAGAGGGTTGAAGATCAACGTTCAAAAATTCTAGTGCAATGGCATAGCTCGTTAAATGTTGACTAAAACGTAATGGGCGACCGTTGAAGGCTGAAGGCCACAAGCCTGTTTCAACTTCAAGCATGGGGGAGTGGGACTGGGCAACGCAGAGACAGACAGAGAGTTGCTCATGGTTTTGACTTTGGCTGGGAAGGTAACAAGTGACAACAAGTAGAACAAGAGTAGAAGATGACCCATATCTTTTTGACTAAGGTGGGCTCAACATATTCCAGCTTTGAAGATACCTTCTGAAAAGATCAATCTTGAGAATATTTCAGGACATGATTGATTCTGTGGTCCATTTCCTAATTTCACTGTTTCCATTAAAATAATTATCTGCTTGGAGAGTACATAATGAGCTCAATTGTAAAATGCATTCTAGACTTTCTTTGAGTTGCAAAGTGCCCCTGAAACTATCAATTCCAACGTTATACGCCCTTGTATTATCAATTTTTCGCGATATACTACAATCAATCTGCTGCTAGGGGAACTTTAATGATGGGGCAAAATGTCCTTGAATTTAGTGAAAAAGTCAGTAATATCCCTGAATGTAGCTAAGTGGCCAAAACGTCCCAGTAAATTATTCACAAACATCCTAGAGAAACAAAAGTGAGTTCTCTTATTAACCCTACCAACTTTCTGAGCAGAACATACAGTTCTTTTTTTTTTTTTTTGAACTTGAACATACAGCTCCTTTGTATGGAAAGTTGTTTGTTTTGAGAAAGTACAGCGTTACAAGCATAACAAATAATCATTTTCCTGGTACTGTATGGCCTATAATGCAATCACGAAGAGAATTTGCGAAAGAAGACATCAATTACTGCTGTTCTTCATGAAGTCGTAGTAATTACATAAAATGGAGGTCTTTACCAGTCTTCCTATCATGGTGATTGTCTGCTAAGGAATCTTTAGCCTTTTGTCTATCTTTTGAACTTTCAGACGTTTTAAAACCTGTCAACTTCCCTCCTTAAACTAATTATATGTGATACCCGTCTTTCCAACCCAAAAAAAAAAAGTGATACCCGAACCATATGAATCTGTGTATAGTTAGGCGCTGCACCTTACGACCCAGTGATAACATCATGAGGCTAGTTGATGTAAATAAGGTATTACAACAAAAAGTTCAGATTAAAATACGAGAGCTAGCCCAAAGGTAGCTTTTATTCTCTCAATCAGCGGTAAAGGAAAGAAGAGTAAGGAAAGTGATCTCTGTCCATGTCGTGTTGGTCGGTCATATATACATACGTATGGAAGAAGAAGAAATGGAAAACTAACGTATTGTTTGGAGAAAAAGAAGGAAAAGGTATTCTCTTTCTCTCCTCTAAACCAATCCAAACACAAAACACCTAATCTCTCTTATT